GAACTCCCGAAGAAAATTAGAAAATACGATTCTGTCCTTGTTGTTGTGGACCGATTCTCCAAAATGGCCCACTTCATACCGTGCTCCAAAACTTCTGACGCTTCTCATGTGGCTAAACTGTACTTTAACGGAGTTGTTAAACTGCACGGACTACCAAAAATAATTATGTCCGATAGGAATGTTAAATTTACTAGTTATTTCTGAAAAACCCTTTGGCACAAAATGGGAACTAAGTTTTAATTCTCAACAGCTTTTTATCCCCAAACCGATGGTCAAACTGAGGTAGTCAACAGGAGCTTAGGTAACCTATTGAGATCGCTAGTTGGCGAAAATTTTAGGGATTAGGATCAACATCTGCCTACTGCTGAATTTGCTTATAATAATGTTGTTAATAGGTCTACAGGTGTCAGCCCAGCAGAACTCGTGTATGGTTACAAGTCTAGACAGTCTATAGATCTTGTCCATGTGTCTGCTCATCATAGAGTATCTGAGTCAACATCTGTATTTGCATATCAGTTGCGATTTAATGTATTATGTTTGATTAGTGAGCAGGTGATTCTGTTGCCGAGTATATTTGCTAGTCTAAATATTACAAGTCGAATTGTATTAAGAGGACGAATCATTACATTTATTTTTTGGATAATTTACAAAGGTTTGAACTTAGTACAATTGCAACTTTTGCTTAAAAACCATCGAAAGCTACACTTTATTTTTGAGCTTCCTGCCTAGATCGATCGCTGATTTGGTGAAGCATTGTTGTCGCTGATCTCGCACCTGCATATACATTGTTTCACATGAACGGCTCCATTCAGAAGATGGATTCCTCCACATCTATTCCTTCGCCTTCAAGAGCTCTTGAACCTCCTCCAATTCCACACACTTTCAATGGAGCAGATAAGATAGTTTGGTAACTCACAAGTAATGAAACTTTTTAGTTCACTCCTTTTATCTCACCTTAGCAATCTACCTCCTTGGTCAGCATCGACTCCTCTCAAAGCTTGGTGTTCAGTAGCAACATCTCTATATTAGGACAATTCTATGTTACCCAGCATACAGTCACATCTTCATGATGATTGATTTGCACCACTATTTCGGTTATACGTCGTCGATTTGGAGATAGAGGTATCAAAGAATCTTCAAAGGAAGAATTATTCGACGGTGGATATCATCTACAATGCTGAAGAAATTGATGACTTTGAAGCTCCCATTACAAAGTCAAGAACTAGTGCATGCGCTAACCATTCTCATATAGTGCAAGAAATGTATACATGTATTTCTACTATTTTTTTAATTTAATTAATAAAAAATGTGCGCATCTACATTATTGAAAATAGGATACTAAAATTTTCAAAAGAAAACAAGCGTATTACCTACCGCCGCCGATGAAATCATCAAAGGTAATGTCATTGATGTTCCAAACAGTGACGACGATCTCACGAAGCCCTTTGAAGATTTTGAAGACTTTGAAGATTCCTTGAAAACGATGCAAGACTCTCTCTCTTGCTCAAAATTCGCCAAAAAGTTCAAGTCTCTACCTAGAATCTGCTTGCATCTAGTGATATGGGTGATAGGGAAGCATTTATAGTCCCTAGAAGCAGTTACTGAAGGTAGAAAGTCAAAACAAAACCTAACTGATATCCCCCATTTCCGAGACACGTTCTGTGTCTTAGGAGTTTAGCCAGTCCGTTTTGTAACTGACTTCCCATGTTTAAGTGTCATTATTTCTGTAGTTATGAGCGTGCTTTTCGTTTGTAACGGTCCTCCCACGTTCACATACGATCCCAAGCAGTTATGAAGCCACGTGGACCGCACAAAACCTAAGAAAACCGTCAACGAAAGTGTGAAACTCTCCCATAGTTTCCGAGACAGTTTCCGTGTCTCGGAAACTATGGGTTGTCTCATAGTTTCCGAGACACATTCCCTGTCTCGGAAACTGAGCAATTTTGTAGTTTTCTAGACACTTTTGACCTCAAAAATTACACGCTTCCCCGTTGTTTTGCATTTTTGTGTATTCCTCGTATCGGGTGATCCTCTTTGACTCAGATGATAATGTTTATCGTCTTCTTTTCATCTCGAGCTGTGTGCAATAATCTATAGGTAATTTTTGACGCCTACAGCCTCCCGGAACTTCTGTCATCTTCCCGCCGTCTCCCACAGCATCCAACACCTCCCTCAGCACTCTCTCACTTCCACAACACCTCCTCTCACTGTGATCTCCTCCTACTGCGGTCCTCTAACCGCTCAACTCATCTTCTCGAAGACAACTCTTCGACCCGTCCTCCAGTTATCTTCGATATTATGTGATGATTACATGTCTATTTTATACTTAGGATCTTTTTAAATAATCAAATATGCACTTTCACTAGATTTTTCTTTAATTTTACCTATTTTTTTGAATATTTATACATATCTAAATTAGACCGCTATTTGACTTTGCACTTTTACCGCTATTTTGCCATAATAGCCCTAAGTAGTCTTAGCAGTGTCTCACGGCTATGCAACGCTATACGCTATCGTTAACTGTGAGTCTAACCTAATACCCCTCAAAATATTAAACCGAACATCCCACTCGTATATTTTAAAGGATAAATACCTATAGTAGTCAATTCTAACATAGCCTAAGTTAATGGTCAAACAACAAACAAAATTAGTACATTGTTGTGGACATAAATAATAAAAATATTATGCACTCATTCAGGCATGCTCATTACATGAAAAGCTCAAATACAACCTTAGGGCCAAAAGCCCAAATAATGGTTGTCATTGTTGTCTTGAAGGCCCAAATTGATCACTCTCTCTGCCCTAGTGTCTAATGTCCGCAAAACCCGAGGGAAGTTTAAAAAACCATCACTTCTATGGTTTACCATTTAGTTCCACTATAATGGGGTTTACCCTCCAGAGCGTCGCCTCGACAGCAGAAGATAAGGTTCTCGTCTCAGGTAAAATGAAAAGGGGAAGAATAAAAATTCAAAAGTAGCATATTTACCTCCAATTTGTTGATTTTTTTTCTCATTTTTATGATTTATTGTAGTTGAGGTCTGCTTGAATCCATCCAACACCGCTCGTGTTGAAAACGTCTGAACATTTTATAAAGGTTCGTCCAATTTAGTACCCTCTCCAATCTATCAGTCATAAGGGTTTTACAAGTGAATTCTCCTACTTTCTTTTTTCTCTTTCTTTTTTTGGTGGAAGACAATTACAGACACTATCGTCTTACTGTATTGCTCTGTAACTAGATTTATTTCCAGTGTGAATTTCATATTAGGAATCTCTTTTAAAGTTTAAATGAAAAAGGAGTGACCTTCCAAATCAAAGGATAGGAAATATTTTAGATGGAGAGGGTGCAATTATGACATTTGATAAGATTGCAAACAAAATAGTTTTTGAGTTCAGTGGGGTTTTGAGGTGCTGAATTTGACCTTCTAGACTTATACTGCAGAGGCCAGGGCAAGTCATCGTAGCCCTGAGATAGAACCTTTTGTAGCTAAACTTTGCCAATAAATTAAGGTGTTTCTGGTTAGGAATTAGTCAGAATAGCAAGAGAAGTTACAAACATCACATAGTTTTAACTTCTGGTTTTACAATTGAGCACAAGGGCAACTTCTCTATTTTAAAGCTTTTTTTTGCTTGTACAACAAATAGAGTTCAATCATACCATGTACCAAAAATGTATGCTGAAATTTAGATGTAACTAGAACAATGTGGATCTATTTTGTGGCTCACTCAGCTTTTATAAAGACATGATTATTTTTGATGGTGTTGCATGTGCTTATCAGACCGTCTTTGCTTCACGTTGGCTCAATTTTAACGCTTTTCTCCTCAAGCTTGACTTCGAGAAGGCTTTTGATTCCATGAGTTGAGATTTATTCAAGTTTCTTGTTGCTAGAGGTTTCCGCTCTCATTGGATTGGATGTCTCCATGTCTCTATTCCAGTACTTGGTCGGTTCTTACGATTATTCGGGTCCATATATTCATTGCCTAAATAGGGCTACGGTCTAGGAGATCCGTTATCCCCCATATCTTTTCATTCTTGCAGCTAATACGCTTATTAGAATCCCCTCAAAGGGCAGGTAGCAAGGGCTTTATACAAAGAGTCAGCAATTTTCCATGTCACAGTGACATGCTCAGTCTACATATGCTGATGAGGCTCTTATCCTAGCTCGCTAATGCTAGGTCTTTATCCAATCTCAAAATTAGTCTATATGTGAGCCAGCTTTGGGCCAATTTTCACAACCTTTGGTCTACAACCTATGTGGGATTGATGAAGTTGGTGAGATGGTTGCTTAACCTCAGACAATCCAATACATGTCTCCATGCTAAATGGCGGTGGCAGTTATCCTTAGCATCTAACCCACCTTGGGTTATAATTGTGCCTCACAACCACTATAGAAGGGGACGCATACATGATCTAGCCACTCTCATTAATAGTTATGTTTCTCCGTTCTGACGAGGTGTTCTTAAGGCAACACTAGCGGCACACCCACGAGATTTTGACTCGACCATTGGGTGGGGTGTTGATTGTCTTGCAACAACCTTTTTCCGATTTGGTAAAGTTTGCTATAGACATTTCTTTTTCTTTTGGTCGTGTACGCCTCCGATCAGAAGATGGATCCCTCCGCACCTCTTCCTTCGCCTCCAAGAACTCTTGAATCTCCTCCAACCCCACACACTTTCAATGAAGCAGGCAAGAGAGGTTGATAACTTGCAGGCAATCTCCTTCCTCGGTCAGCACCAAATCCTCTCCTATCGCACTACTGCTCTGCTAGAGAAATGTGGTTATGGGAAAACACTGCCCTAACTCTCGCCTACCCTCTATATTCGCGCCGCTATTTCGGCTATACGTCGACGTCGATTGATTTGGAAATAGAGGAACCAAAGAATCTTCGAAAGGAAGGATTCTTCAACGGTGGGTATCAACTACAATGCTGTAGAAATTGGTGACTTTGAAAGCTCCCATCACAAAGCCAAGCGGTTCAACAGAAAAACAAGCGCATTTTTACCTGCCGCTGCCGATGAAATCATCGAAGGTGATGCTGTTGCTGTTCCAAACGGTGACGACGATCTCACGGAGCCCTTCAATTAGAGGTACGTTGACCTTCTCCTGAAACAATGGGTGCTTTCCTCCATCTGATTTCGAAATTTTTTTTTTATTTTTTATGCTCGATTTCCAACCGTAATCATTTAAAAAAAAATCAAACCAACAAAATTCCGGTTTGCTCTCACTCACCGGTGCAGGTGCGGGTGCGGAATTTGGTGGTGGCGTACTCGATGCAGACGTACGGATCCTGCCTCGATATCCACTCTGTATCCTTCAGCTTGCTGCACCCAACAACTAACCAGGAAAAAAAAAGAGCCTCGAATATTAATATCAACATCAAGAAAACAACAAGATGAAATTTTTGTGAGAGATTTATCTTTGGCCTTACTTGTGACCTCGAGAAGGTGGCCTTGGATCCCTGAAACCATCGACATGCGTTCCTCCTCTCTTCGGTTGAAAAAGGGGGATCGGAGATTATTTGGGTTTCCAAATTTGCAAAATATAAATGTTTGAGGTATTTATTCGTTCATTTATTTATATGAAAGGGATAATAATAAGAGGAAGAATTAGGAATAGGGGGACGCGTTTACCTGTCTTGGTATTTGGGCAAAGTCTGGTATGGGGAGACGCATGTTTGTTATATCCATTTCCAAACAGTAATTTTGGGAGTTAGATTGTCGAAAATGTTCTTTTGATGTTGAGGGTATTTCTGGAATGGACTTGGCTTGTTTTGATTTGGGAGAAGGGCAATTTAGTCCTCACATACCCCAAAATTACTGTTTGGGAGTGTGAATAGTTGGACCCGGGGAGACGGGAGGCTCTGCACACTTTTAACCTTAGATGTTTATTTTTTAGGGGGTGATTGTGATACATTCTAAATCTAACATTCATCAAACCCCGTGTATTGCACTCAAATAAAAAAAGAGCGTTGCTACATGTCATGTCATTATGCAATAGGAGGGGGACATCTCACGTGCCCCCTCCAATGGTCCCATATTTTGGATCCTTAAGACATTTTTCATAAAATATCATAATCACTCACTAGATAATCAATCATTATGATTAGGTTGTCGTCTATCCACTACTTTTTTGACATTGGACATGATCCGAATCCAATATACTATGTAAACCAAACATATTGCAATGTATACCAATGGAATATCTTATTTGGATCTGGATGTTACTTGATTGTTTTTCTGACATTCTCATATGTCTTGCATGATTTAAGATTTTACTTTATGAACAATATACTTTAAAATTTTCTTAACTTGTACCTTTAAATTTGACTTTCTCACATGTCTTACAAGATTTAAATGTTACTTTATGAATAATATACTTTAAAATTTGGAAAAATTGTGTCAAGACTCCAAAAAAACAATGCTCATGTGGCCCAGCCCCATGGCCTTTCCCCCAAGTTGTTTAACCCCAAAAGACCTAACAAAATGTGGTTCAGCCCCAAAAACCTATGTATTTGATGTATTTGTGCTCCTCTTCCAAAATTGTCCTCTTCTCATGGAAACTCATCCCAAAATATCATAACTGATCATTTCCGCTCTTCTCCGCTGCTCATCTCCTTCTCCTCTCCTATAACCCTACCTTTCTCCTCCCTCTTACTCTTCTTACACTTCGACCCCGAAATCTTCCTCACCCGGCTCCTCCTCCGTCACCACCGAGCATACCCTCCAACCTCGTCATCTTAGGCGAGTGTGGAGAAGGCTTAGATAAGAAGGCGAGATGGATGGAGAGGAGCATAGAGAAGGAGTAGGAGAGAACGAAGGAGAGTTCGAGCTCATCGAGCTAGTGAGGTCCATGGTGATGGGAAGTAAAGGAGATGGTTAAGGTTAAGGCTTATACCTAGTGGGCAATGGAGGAGGAGGAGGGGGAGGATAAGGATAATGAGGATATTGGGACATATGTGTTGTTTGTCAAAATGCTTGTGAGATGGATGAGTTGGTTTGCAGGTTAAAATGAAATTACTTTGGCTAAAAATTTATCAGTGCCTATAGAGTGTTTGCTAAAATGTCAAAGAGAGATGTGGTTTCTTGAAATGTGATAATAACAGGTCCTGTACAAAGAAAATGTTGTGGAGATATTATAGCTTTAAAAATGCAGAAAGTTCTAACTGAAATATAAGTAATCATTAACTTATTATTAAAATTGGAGTTTGTGATGTAAGTATTGTGATTTCAGGTTTCATACCACAGACCCATTTCAAATGTTAACTTTAATAATTACATAATAACTACTCATGTCGTCTATTAACTATCATAACTATCTGTTAACTTTCACTTGGATCCATTAACTTTTCCTGTCGTCTGTTAACTATCACAGCTATCTGTTAACTTTCACCTAAACCTGTTAACTTTTCTTGTCGTCTGTTAACTATCATAGCTATGTGTTAACTTTCACATGAACCAATTGACTATTCCTATTGTCTATTAACTTTCACATGAACCTGTTAGTTCTCACCATCACAAGTTAATTTTATAGTTTTGTAGGCTGTCTAAAAATCACAATGGATAGCTGAGTCGCCATCAAACACTGATGATGGAAGTTACAATCTGACGACTTCCAGAAGGCTACAATTCGAAGATTTTTACATGTCAAAGAGTTAAAGCAAAGATTACAAAATGACAGTCTTTAGCAATACTCTGACAGAAAGGATTACAAATCGACGATCTCTTCAAACCAAGACGTGGAAGTCCTCCCCGCGTATCATCATCAAGACACAACACCAATTTGATCACCTACGCCGCTTCAACAGTTATAAACACGAATGCAGCTTCTTATGTGAGATGATTGATCTTGATGGCTGCGACAACAACATGACTGATATCATGTTAGCAACCATTAGAGGTGCTGATGAGCAGTGTAATGATATTCGACACACTCAGTGAAGATCATGACCTGCAGTTGATAAAGCGTTATTGAGATGCCTCAATTGTCACAAATGGCCTGAATAAGACCTTCTTTACTGGTCTTTGGTGTCATCCATATATAAAGACAGAGAAATCTAATCAACAGCTCGAACGCAGCTCCAATCGTTGCCAAGCACAGCTCGAACGCAGCTCCATCGCTGCCCAACGCAGCTCCATCGCTGCCCAACGCAGCTTATCAACCGCTGCCCAACGCAGCTTATCAACCGCTGAAGCACAGATCGAACGCAGCTCCAATCGCTGCCAAGCACAGCTCGAACGCAGCTCCATCGCTGCCCAACGCAGCTCCAATCGCTGTTCGTTACCATAAAGGAGAGAATCAGTGAAATAATTCTCATACCCTTTGAATGGTTGCTTATCCGCGACCACCGTCCTAACCTTATTATCAGTGTCGACATATTTCAAACACTGATGGAGAGTTGAGGGGATTATAACGTTACTATGGATCCAAGGTCGACCCAATAGTAAGTTATACGAAGTCTCGGCATCAATCACATAACATGTGACTTCCGTCTTCAAATCACCCATTTGACACTTTATCCGGATTTTACCTAAAGGTCTTGACCCGCTGGTATTGAACCCGTAAATAACAGTGCCTGTGGACGCCAACTTGCTTACTGGGATGCCGAGGAAATGCATCAATCGAAGCGGCATAATACTCACAGCAGAACCCGGATCCACTTGGATTCGGTTGACTTGGCTGGAGCCAATGTATCCGACGAAATATAACGGCCGATCGTGGTTCGAATTCTTCGTCTGCATATCTTCTTTGGTGAAAGTAATGCAGGGAAGGTTCTTAGTCGCTATGTTGCACTGTTGACTCAGCGGTTCTGGCTGTTCATGCACCGGCTTGACTTGAGTCAGAAATACCTCTGCATTGGCCAAAGCTTCTTGTAGGGCCTCCCTGGTTTCTTTGGATAATCGCAGCAACTCATACAGCGTTATCCGTGCAGGAATGTTGGCTAATTGCGCCATAATGTCGAAGACTTGCGGAGTCTTCGAGCTTTCCGGTTTGTCTCTTCCAATCGGGCGACTGAAACGAGACTGCTTCGGATTCTGCACCTCCTGGGGATTCTTCTCTTTCGGTTTATTCACCGACTGTCGTCGAGCCTCTTCGCCCGGTGTAGGACTTGTAATCACCCCCATCTCCGTGAGAGTTTTGGCTGGTCCCCGTTTATTCACCCCCTGCTCACTAGGCGGTGGATAATTGTAGTGATACTCATTTCCGCTTCTAGTGGCGAAGACTTCTTGTTCTTCTTCGGAGAGCGGGAAAGTAGGAGCTTCATTGCCATCCTCCTCGAAGATTGCGGAAGTAGCATTGCAGGACTTGCCTTTGCCCTTTCTTCTCGAGGAAGTCGCCCACTGTTCGTCTTTAATGAGATCAGGATGAACCCATAGGATTTCACCGTTTGGGGCTGTGTGTGGCACAAGTCCTTTTTGGTGCTGTCCATGTGTGTCATCGTTCACTGTCTTCATCCCTACTTTGGTGATGCGCTCCGGTTTGAACCATGTTGTGGGCACCGATCCAAAGCTGATTGAAACCGCGTTTGCTCCAACATTCTTGGACGGCTTCGGGGTTATGACGCCTACATCGCTCTGTGGTACGCGCAGTACTTTGGATCCATTACTTTGCTGGCCCCTTCTTGATCCACGATCGCCGGCAACTGGATCTTGTTGTTCTCCAACAGGTATTTGAAGATGCCGGGAACTTCGTCATCCTTGAAGGAGTACACTTTAGGAAACCTCGGCTCCGAGGATTTCTGCTTCTGAGGCCGTTGTTGCCATTGTCCCCGAGGTTGTTGTGATGCTTGTTGCTGCGGCTATTGCTGAGGTTGCAATTGGAAAGTTTGATTAGCATCAACTGCATTAGCATGTGCCTTACCTTTCCCCCGTGGGACGAAATTCTGTTGCGGAGCATTATTCGCCTGTTGGCCTCTCTCCGCCTTCTTTCTTCTGAGGAATCACTCGGCTTGCTCTCCTCGGACCTTCAGATCCTTCCATGTCTTGGACGGTGCCGTCCCCATTGCTTCCAACACGTCCAGTGTGAGGTTGTTGTGGCAGGTCTGGAGTATAAACTCCTCGGTGATCGGGTCCCGGCAATTCATCGCCTTGTTCCGGAACCTTTTGACGAAGGTGTCGACTAACCCTCCGTCTTTCTGCTTCTCATCGAGCAACGATCCGATAGATACCTCGGTGTCGTCGTCGAAGAAATTGGCAAGGAA